TTCTGTTTTTTGGAACAGTGTGAGAAGAATAGGTATTTACTGTTTAAATGTTTGGTATAATTCTCCTGGGAGCTGTCTGGCCCTGGACTTTTATTTCTTGGGAAATTTTTGATTACTGATTCCATTTCATTGTGGGTTATCAGTCTGTTAAAGTTTTCTATTACTTCCTATTTCAGTTTTGGTGAAATATGTTTATATGTTTCTAGGAATTTATCCATTTCTTCCAGATAGCCCAATTTGTTGGCATATACTTTTTCATATTCTCTTATAGTTGTATTTCTTTGGTGTTGGTTGTGATCTCTCCTCTGTCATTCATGATTTTATTTATTTGGGTTCCTTCTCTTTTCTTTTTTTTATTTTACTTTTACTTTAAAATTTTTATTTAAATTCAATTAGCCAACATATATTGTATCATTAGTTTCAGATGTAGAGTTCAGTAATTAATCAGTTGCATATAATACCCAGTGCTCATCACATCAGGTGCCCTCCTTAATGCCTGTCACTTAGTTACCCCATCCCCCCACCCACCTTCCCTCCAGCACCCTTCAGTTTCTTTTTTTTTAAACCTCAGTTTCTTTTCCATAGTTATATCTAGGGGTTTGTCAATTTAAAAAAAAAATTATTTTATTTAAATTCAATTTAATTAACATATAGTATATTATTATTAGTTTCAGGGGTAGAATTGAGTGATTCATCAGTGTCATATAACACAGACACCTCATTACATCAACTGCCCTCCTTAATGCTGATCATCCAGTTACCCCATCCCCCTCACCCACCTCCCCTCCAGCAACCCTTAATTTGTTTCCTGTACTTAAGAGTCTCTTATGATTTGTCTCCCTCTCTATTTCATCCTATTTTATTTTTCCTTCCCTTCCCATAATTCATCTGTTTGTTTCTTAAATTCCACATATGAGTGAAATCATCTGATATTTGTCTTTCTCTGACTGACTTATTTCACTTAGCATAATACCCTCTAGTTCCATCCATATTGCTGCAAATGGCAACATTTCATTCTTTTTCATGGCTAAGTAATATTCCATTGTATATATATACCACTTCTTTAACCATTCATCTGTCGATGGACATTAGGACTCTTTCCATATTTTGACTATTGTGGACATTGGCGCTATAAACATTGGGGTGCATGTGCCCATTTGAATAACTATGTTTGTATCCTTTGGATACATACCTAGTAGTACAATTGCTGGGTTATAGGGTAGCTCTATTTTTAATTTTTGAGGAACCTCTATACTGTTTTCCTGAGTGGCTGTACCAGTTTATATTCCCACCAACAGTGTAAGGGGGTTCCCCTTTCTCTGCATCCTTGCCAACATCTGTTGTTTCCTGGGTTGTTATTTTAGGCATTTTGACTGGTGTGATTTGGTATCTCATTGTATTGATTTGTATTTCCCTGATACTGAGTGATGTTGAGCATTTTTTCATGTGTGTCTTGGCTATTTGTGTGTCTTCTTTGGAGAAATATGTTTTTGTCCTGCCCATTTCTTGACTGGATTTTTTGTTTTTTGGGTGTTGAGTTTGAAAAGTTCTTTATACATTTTGGATACTAGCCAATTTTCTGATAAGACATTTGCAAATAAAAAGAGAGTTTTATTTGAGCCCAAGTTAGGACAGCTGCCCAGGAAACATGGTCTTTACAAGGAAGAAAGTGCTCCAGAAAAATGAACATTTTTTACAGGATTATATACTTTTTTACATCTTGTAAAGGCTCAAAATATTATAGATTAGCACATAGGCAGGAATCACGAGTTTTATCATTCAGGAATGCAGGTGATGTGGGGTCTCTGAGCAAAAAAGGTCAAGAAAGAATTCTTGACATGTTTTCAGTGCAAAAAGGTGTTTTTATTAAAGCATGGAACAGGACCCATGGGCAAAATTGCTGCACTGTGACTGTGTGGAGAAATTGACTATATACTTTCAAGTTGAGGGGCAGAGATAAGGGAAGTCACTAAAGGGATTTCCATATGTTAAAGAAAACTTATAGGATCCTGGAGGTCTGGCTATTGTCAAGCTAAGGTTGCTTTTAGTCTCTAGCAAAACATCAACATTAAGGCAGCCATGAGTTCCTTGAGGAATGTCACACTCTGCATGTCTCACGTATTTCTCAATGGGCTGCAAATTGTAAGGAAATTTAATTGTATCTACATTTCTTTTGCCTTTCTTCTCATCATAGGGAGTGGGAATATTGACTGATTTCTCAAGGACATGATGGTTTTCCTTGAGGCTACTCATTCACAAAGCAGGTGTACAGCATGTTGAGCCATAAATCAGGCTTTTGATTTAAACAACGTTTATGTACAGTAATGCTAACTAAAAAAGAAACCTAAAATGGCTTCCCTTGTGTATCAGGCCTTGAGAGAGTTTTTCTCTCATCAGGATATATACCCAGAAGTGGGATTCCTGGATCATAAGGTAGTTCTATTTTATAGACATTTTAGTTTATGACCTCTGAGCTAAACCATCTAATCAAAATTATTTTTCTAAACCAGAGGCTTTTTACAGCCTCCCTCTGATAGCCATTTTTTGTTTTAAATTTTGATGTTCCAGAAGTTGTACCCATTGTCGTGAGTCCACGTGGACTAGAGAATTTAAGATTTGTTTGCCATCAAGTCATATCACAAACTCCTACCTAATTCACTACTCACAATGCTCTTATTTTTGGTTTTATTTCTCTTAATAACCCACAGTTTGGGGTGTGACTTATGCCTCTTAATGATAATGTATAATAAAAAGAGAGATGTCAAATGCAAAGAAATGTCCCCCTAAAATAGGTCACCTTCCAAATCTCATAAGAAGGCCAAGAAGAAAAAGAATGTCCTAAACGGGATACCAGGAACCTCCCTTAGAAAAATAGAAGGTGGCTTTAGCTTAAAGAAAGCCCCACAAGGGTTTTGATTTCTTAACAGGAATTAGATAAGCAAGCAGTGGGATGCAATAGGATGACTGTTAGACTTGTGGCCCAACAAATATGGGTTTGAATCCTTGTCATGTATTCACAAACTGTGTGGCCTTGATTAAGTGCTTTACCTTCTGTGAACCTAGGTTTCAGAGATAAAACACTCTGCCTATTTTGGAGTTGGGAGTATTAAGTGAGCTCTGGCACCTTCACCAGAAGTCCATTCCTTTCAAAGTTCACAGAAGGAGATAAGCATTCACAGGTGTTGGAGGCTGTTGTCTCACGAGTGTCCTTGCCTTGCTACTAGTGGTTTAGCCACTTGGTGGTGGTATGGAGTTGCTTTTCCGTTTTAACATCTCAAAAAAATTGTCATTAAATAATAAGGGTTAATTGTCAAAATATTTAAACTGTTAAAAGGGAGCCATCACCAGCCCAGCAATAATAAATGCCTGTGAATGGTTGCTGTTCATTATCATGTGAATGGCACCCAACCTTTCTCAGGGGCTTAACAGACTTCATCAGGATTTGTCTAAGGATTCTGTCTCTGTCAGTTACCCAGTTAGTAAAAAGAGCCTGCCTGTTGATAGGGTCAGTCTCTCAGGGGCCTTTACCTAGGAGGGTTTTGAAAATTAGTGTTTGAGGTGGGTGGTCTCACTGCCTCACCTCCCCACCCCCCCAGCCAAACTAACCAAACAGCTGCCCATATTTTATTTGCTTTCTCCAGTACTATTTGAAAGAGCAGTAGAGGCACTTAGTTCCGTTCAAAATAATTAATTGGTACCTGCTTTGTACGAGTCACACACACTTGAAAGTTGTTTACCACCTAGTAAGGGAGGGAGGCAGATAAGAAGCAGAAAATTGTAACATATTTGCTTGCCAGTGGTGTCAGTCAAGAAGAGGACAATGGGCTGTGATAGCCCTGAAGGAGATGTCACCTAAAGTGAATCTCAAAGGATAAATAGACATTCTTTATATCCAGAAGGAAGGAGACATTCTAAGCAGAAGGAGTGGCATGAAACAACATGGTATAGCCAGAAAAGCTAATCTAAGCAGTATAGTGAATCAAGAGTGTCAAAGGTCAGCAGTATTTAGATGGAGAGGTAATAATAATAGCAGATCTTTCTAATGCAGTATTTCCAGGATACCATGTAAAAGCAATTTAGCTCTATGTAACAGCCCTGTGAGGTGGGTACTATTTTTGCATGTGGGAAAACTGAAGCCCAGAGAGGTTATGTCACTAACACGGTTGCACAATTGAGTGGTACCATTAGGATTCAAACCCACGTCAGCTTCAGAGTCCAACCTTTACATTGGGATTAGAAACAGGCTATAAGTTGCAACTTTGAAGAGAGTTGGCCCTATCCTATAAGTGCTACAAAGCCCCCAAAGAGAATTTTAGCAAGGAGAGTGATTAGGGATCAGAATATTGGTGATTACAGGCTCTACTCTGATGAGACTGACTGTGATTTCAAGGAAATCCCTTTCCTTCTTTGGACCTCTGTTTTTTTGTTTTGTTTTTGTTTTGGTGTGTGTGTGTGTGTGTGTGAGTGTGTGATTTCATCTATAAAATGAGGACAGTGATGATAAAGGGCTAATTTTAAGGATTCCTTCCAGCTCTTTGAGTTTTTTACTTTCAAACTAGGGTTGGGGGAGGGGCTACATTCCTAACTGGTGTCAGACTGGTGAGACTGGTAGGTACTTCTCTATGTGCTTTGTTCTTTTTTATATGTGCTTTATACATGCTGTACTTATAGCCTGGAATGTTGTCTTGCTTCTTTCCTGTCTTTCTAAATACTTTCTAACTATAGCTGCCTAACCCCCTTCTCGTAACTCCTACAGTGCTAAGTAACTAAGTAACTCCTAAGTAACTAAGTTAGCTGTGTCTCACTTAGGCCCCTAAAAATATACTATCTTTTATTCTTTGCTACCTGTTTCCTTTGTAGTCTTCTCATATATATTTTGGACTCTCCTTTTTTCCTACTTTTTAGTTTCTCTTGCCCCCTATATCATCTAACACAGTCTTGGTTACAAGGGGGTCTTGGAGAAAATCTTGTTAATCATTTTTTTTTTTCTCTTTTGGCAGTGTATGTGAGCACAGCAAAGAGAATCTTATGACCCCCTCCAACATGGGCGTGATCTTTGGGCCCACTCTGATGAGAGCTCAGGAGGACACTGTCGCTGCCATGATGAACATCAAATTCCAGAACATTGTGGTGGAAATCCTAATTGAGCACTTCGTCAAGGTATGTATTCCCTGTTCTCACCATCACTTCTCCAAGCATGTGACACTTTCCCCTAGCCATCTTTTAGAGTCGTGTCTCCTTCCCTTGTTCAAGTTGATAATGGAAGGAAATTCCATTATGACACAATGGCATTTAATACCATTTCTGACACTGTGAAATGCATTCATTTAGCAAATATTGTTCAGTTCTATAACTATTTTATTATCAGGCACCAGGCTAGATGGTATAGAAGAAGGAAAAAAACCGTTGTTCATGCCTGTACAGAGTTAATAGTAGAGTATGAAGATAGCCATATATACAAATGAAAATGATAGATATAAAAGTGGTGTGTGTACAGTGAAACCATAAAGAAAGCAATAGCTATACTTATTTAAACCTCATCCTATTTCAAAAAGAAATTAAGGTGGTATATTTTATATGGTATATAAAATACAAGGTACTATACTATCCATTATAATTAGGTCAAATGAAAAAGGAAAAATAAGGATAGAGACAGAAAATGAACCCAGAATGAGGCTAGACAAATAATTATTGACAAGTCCTGTGCACTTGCTACAGATGGCCTTTTATCTGGCTCTAAGCTTTCTAGCAGCCAGTACCATCCTGGCAAGGTATAATTCAATAAAAACTTTTCTGCAGGGGGAGGCGGCTAATGACACTGTCTAGATGGCATCGACGGTTCAAACCCAAGCTCTACCACTTACCAGCTATATTTGGTGGCATACAGGTTAGGCTTCGAAGACTCCACATACAAGCACAGGTGCTTCCACAAAAGAGCCATTTATTACTTGCTTGTGGAATAGTCCAGTGAGGTGTTCCAGTGCTGATATGGTGCTTGACAGGGGCAAGAACCCAGTTTCCTTCTTTCTTGTTGTTCTGCCATCTCTAAGGGCTGCTTCACTGCATGACCAACTATCTCCTATATCATATCAGTTGAGAAGGATGAAAGAAAGGAAAATGAAGGATACAACCCTGTCCTTTAAGGCCAGGACCTGAGAGTCACATATATTACTTCTATTTATATACCATTTCAGAATTTACTCCCGTGGTCACATCTGGCAGATGAGTTAGGGAAGTATAGTTTTTATTTGGGGCCCTCCTGTGCCCAGATAAATCTTTAGTTCTTTTTCTAAAAAAAAATGAGAGAGTGTATATTGGATCACAACTGGCATTCTCCGCTATATTATCTGTGTTACATCAAACAACTTCTCTGATAGTCATTTTTTTAGCTAAAATGGGAAGATGATAATAAACCTGTACTATGTGATGTACTATGTAAATGTCCAAGGCCACTTAGCTAGTAACAGAGCTGGGGTTTAAATCCAAGTAGCCTGGCTCAGAGTTGAAGTACTTAATCACTAGGAAGTGCTGCCTCATCAATCATTTTTGAATGGTGATATTATTGGGCATAGAGGACACTTTGGATTATCAAGAATGGGTACTTGCAGAGAAGTACAATTTATGTCAGTACTGAAGGTGGAAATTAAGGAAAATAGGGAAAGGAAATTTCAAGAAGATGACTCAGCATGAACAAAGGCTCAAAGACCTAAAACTTCAAGTAATTTGGTATTGTTGGAACATGAAATAAAAATAGCTGTGGTCAGAGATGTGATTGGAGGCAGACAGGGGCCAGGTCCTAAAAGGACTAAACTCTGTCTAGTTGAAGAGTTTGGAATGTTTGGCATTGTTCCTACAGGCTTGGGAAAGCATTGCTTAAAAGTAGAGTAGTATGATGGATAGACTGACATTCAGGAGGCATCCTCTGGTCTGTGGTGTGAAGGATAGATTACAGGGAGAGAGGCTAGTGACATTGTCGGAGCAATAAATAACTGTAGTCTGAGTCAGGGTGGTGGGAAGAGGAACAGGGAGGGAAAAGCATAGGACTTAGTGATTGGAAGTGGAAAATGTGGGAGAGGAAGATGTCTGAATTCTGGATTTCTGACTTGGCTGACTGGATGGATGGGGCTGTCCTTCATAAATATAAGAAATACAGAATGGAAAAGTTTGGGAGAAGATGGAAAGAAACTTGATTTGCTGCAGGTTGGACTTCAGATTCCTGAAGGATATCCAGAAAGCAGCATCTATGAACTAGTTGGAGTAAAGTAAGGAGTAGCAAACGTTACTCAAAGAAAATATTTATGGTAAATGTTTTAGGCTGTGCAGGTCATAGAAATCTTGCACAACTATTCAACTCCACCTTTGTATTGGGAAAGCAGCCATAGACAACATGTAAACAAATGAATATTCCAGTAAAACCCTGTTAACAAAACAGAGAGCAGGCCTATGGGCTGCAATTTCTTGACTCTTGGTCTAAAACGCAAATTTCATTTATTAATTAATTGATTGATTGATATTCAGTCAACCAGTATGTATTGAGTACCCACTATTTGCCAGGTACTATTTTAGGTCCTGGAGATACAGCCCTCATGGAATTTACATTGTAAAAGAAGTAGAAAAACAATATTCAAAATAAGTAAAATACATAGTATGTTAGATGGTAATGAGCATTAAGAAGAAAAATAAAGCAGAGAAGGGGAATAGGAAGGGTTGGAAAGTGGTTTTGCAATTTTAAAATACAGTATGTCCTCACTGAAAGGACAAATTTTGAGCAGAGATCTATAGGAAATAAAGGAGTGATTTCATTCAGCTATCTGAGGGAAAAGCATTCTAGGCTGAGAAAATGGTAAGCACTATATCCCTGAAGTAGAAGTGTGTCTATCATGTTCAAAGTACAAAAAGGAGGCCACATTAGCTAAAAAGGATTAAACAAACAAACAAAAAAGAAATATAAGAAGATGGATTCAGAAAGAAAATAGAGAAAACTGAGTAGATTCTATAGGTCCTTAGAATCCATTGGAAAGACTTGACTTTGCTGTATCTGAGTAAGATAAAAGGGAGGTTTTTAAGAGAAATAACACAATTTGATTTATGTTTAACAGGAGTATTCTGGATGCTGTGTAGAAATAAGGGTAGAAGGAAGGAGACTAATTAGGAAGCTGTTTTAATAATGCAATCAAAAAATGGTTGTACCTTGGATGAGGGTAGTAATAGTGGAGATGGTAAGAAGTGGTCAGATTCTAAATGTATTTTGAAATCAGAGCCAACAGTATTTGCTGACAAATCACAGGTGGAATGTAGAAGAGAGGAGTCATGGGTAACTTCAAGGTTTTTGTTTTTGTTTTTTATCTGAGCAACTGGAAGGATGAAGTTGCCATTTACTGAGATATGTAAGAATGAGGGAGGAGCAGATTTGAAAGAAAAAAAGAACAGAAGTTCAGCCTATGAGACATCTGAGATCAGAGAAGAAAACAGGATTAGAGAAGTAGAGTTGGCCTTCAACAGCATAGAGATGGTGTTTAAGACAATGTGAATGAATATTCTGGCCTAAGGAATACTTGTGTGAGAGAATAAATGTTAGACCAAGAATTGAAAACTAGGGAGTGCCAGTGTTTGAAGGGCCAATGGAAGAGATGACAAAACAGATTGAGAGGGATTGATCAATGACCTAAAACTTCAAGTAATTTGGTATTGTTGGAACATGAAATAAAAATAGCCGTGGTCAGAGATGTGATTGGAGGCAGATAGGGGCCAGGTCCTAAAAGGACTAAACTCTGTCTAGTTGAAGAGTTTGGAATGTTTGGCATTGTTCCTACAGGCTTGGGAAAGCAGAGCTAGGAGATAGGGGAGCCACAGAGCCCTGGAAATGAGAGAGTCTTAGGAAGGAAAGAGTGGACAGTAGTTTCAATTTCTCAAGACGTGTTATGTTGGACAAGCACTGAAAAGTACCTACTGCTTTACATAGTAATTTTTTAAAAATATAAGCAATATGTATACATGGCAACAAATACAAACCATAAAGAATAAAACACATTTCTATCCTTTACCTGTGTTCAACTCCTAATTCCAATCCTCATTTCAAGAATTTCTTGTCATTTTGGCAAAGAAAAAAAGTACATATATACACATATATGCATATAAAATATTTGACATATTTTATATGCATATATTATTCTTCTACTTAGTACAGCTAAAATCTCTGGACATTATATATAAAAATAACACAAGAAGACTCTGAAATATGGAAGGAAGAAGGTGGACCAGACTGGCTAAGGACCTTAGGACCTGAGGAATGACATGGCCACAAGTCACCTGGATTTTGTTTTTGCCTCATCTCCCAGATTGGGTGCGGTCAAAAAAGGTATCAACAAAAGGCTACTCTCTCTAGCCAAAGGACCTGGAAAGGAACAGCCCTACAACACAGAAAAATTTTAGATAGTAACCTCTCTACTCCAGCAAAACAGCACAGAAAAAAATGCAGCCCCACCCCCACCCCTTCCAGCAAATACTGAGTGGAGAAGCTAGATTTTTACCTTTGCCAGGCTGTAACAAGCACCTGAGCCTCTCTCCCCCCACTTCATGCAGTGTTGTCAAGAAGGCCAAGTGGGGAACCAGACTTTCATCCTCACCTGGTGGTAATGAGACACCATCTTCCACTCTCAATGGTGTCAGTGGAGACCACCTGAAGTGCCTGGACACCCATGCCTATTTGGCATTGGAGTAGCATCAGAGGAGGCTTGGTAGAAATACAGGACTTTCACCACCACTCAGTGGTAATAAGGCTAGCACACTGTAGTGTCAGTGGAGAGGAGACCATTTGGGGAACAGTAACGAGACGCCCCTCCCCCTCTGGCCACAGTGGTATCATCAGAGGCATAGTGAGAAATCTGAAATCCTACTCCTGTCTAGCAGTAACAAGAAGGTCTTACCTTCCACTGAGATGTCAATGGAGGCCAAGTGGAAAACCTGGACTTCCACTCCATCCTGGCAGAAATGAGGCAGTGCTCCTCCTACCTTATAGTGGCGGTGCCAGAGAAGGCCTGCTATAATAGAAGATACAAGTAAGAACAAGACTCACATAGTACCCAAAATATGCAGGCTTCAGTTGAAAATCATTTGTCAAAATCATACCAAGATGATTCATCACAACACGAATGAGAAAA